TATAAATATATGGGTAAACATACAATGCAGCCGCTTTGTACATGTGTGTGGACTGGACCGTAGTTTTCCCCACCCGGGGCTTCATGTTACTCGTCAATGTGTGGAAATCCAGATGAAGTGGAGTTAAAGACCAAAACGAATGCAAATAACAAATACTTAACGTCCACTTGCGTTTTGAGAAAGGTCATTCGGTATCACATTGCTCAACCAATTGTTCGGAGAGAAGCGGACGACGGGGCGAACGATTGTTAAATCGCATAGTCGTACGCTCCATGTGTGGTCGATGTGCGGACACTATTTTTGGTGCGTTGTGCGATAATACAACAAAAAATACCGTATATGAAATCATGTATATTTTACATCTCTCAACTCAACTTTTTTCCAGAGCCATGTTGGAATAAATGTAAAGCAAATACAGTCTGCAACAAAAATACATTCAGATGTTACTGTAAACCAGGATGCAGCGGAAACCCATATAGCGGCTGCTCACGTAAGTTCCTTCCTCAAGATATTGATGAATTATATTCAAATCAATTGAGAAGGTAACAAATGTTATCAACAAATGATAATGACTACCCTTTCGGTCTGTACATTACAAAAAAAGTGTATACTCGAAATACAGCTAAAAGTATTCTATAGAAAACTGAATGAAATTTTCTTTAACATGATTAGTTCGCTCTACTTCAGTTTTCTTTTCAGCACCTTTAAGCAAATTCCAATTTGCACGATCAAGTTACTCGGTCAGCGAGAGCGCCGGAGTCGCGAAGCTCCAGATAGATAGGATATCTGGAGTGTCCGGGAGAGTCACACTGTACTGGAAATCGACTTCAATATCGGCTAAACTAAACAGCGACTACAAAGGTGCTTCCGGAACAATTACCTTTGAAAGTAATGAAAAATGGAAGTCCATCCAAATTCCAATCGTTAATGATAAGGTAGGATTTTGTTTATAATGTTTGACCATTGCTTAACATATACATGTTTGACCATTGATTAACCTATTTAGCTCCGACGTGTCTTTAAGTGTAAAGGTTTATACGCAATGCAATATTCAAAATAATTAAAAGAATTTGTATTTAGTTACATGTGTCAATTATAGGTACATACATTTAAAAATTACAATGAGTAACAAAGTCTGTTAATACTGTTGATACATTAAATTATATTTCATATATAATATCAATAACATAACCCACATATATATGAATACTATAAGACTCTTTTATATGTACCGAAGGTGGATAGAGAAATCCTCCCGAGAGGATCATAAATTCGGGTGAAACCCGAGGCTTTGCCGATTAATAGCCCAATTATGATCCCAGAGGGAGGAATTATCTATCCACCTGTCATTACATATAAAAGAGTATTTTTCTCTAATATATATATACCATTAAAAACCAAATACTTCACCCCTCAATGCCCACAGACGGTCGCCATCTTCCATGTTTTTAATTACTTTCTCCGTGGTTTAAAAAACGAAAATAGCAGTAGAAATTGTATTATCCATACCCTCAAACCGCAACGGCATTGCACGCATAAACAAATACACATTTCCATGAAAACTCTATGGTCAAGTTGTTATTCAATTTTCTATTTTCCATACGGCATTTTCGTAGCGCTATCTATGAACCTCATCGCTTCTTACTGTACATATCAATTAGTGCGCAGAGAAATATAGTTCCCTTGTTGTAAATAGTAAAACATTTTATTTTTTTGACAAATTTTTAATTCATGACTGATCATGTAATTGATTAATATAAATGAATTTATGGATACAATCAATAAATACAGAGCCGGGCGTAAGTTGTTGACATTTGGAGTTGATCTCCTTAGTTTTTGTATTACTTCGCGATGTGATTAGCACATGTAAGATAGACGCAGCAAGCATGGTTATCTTACATGGCCAGCGTTATCTTACATGACCGAAAATGAGATACTAGCGTTAACAGATTTTGACTCGATATGTCCATAAGCTTATGCCTTAATCAAAAATACTTTTTTAAAATATGTATATTATAAACAAATTTAGAATAAAATTTCTCATGATTGTAAATAAAAAATAATAATTAAATAATAATATATTGAATAGTTTACTCTTTTAAACGAGAAGGAAAAAGTGATATTGATCATGTAGGCAAATAAATTGTTGATTTTTATTTTCAAACTTTTCCGAAATATTTTGAGTTTTGTGGGTGATTGCTTAAATACACCAAAAAGAGAAAAAAAATCTGCGGGCATTTAATCATTGATTTGTTTTTGCATAACTTTATTTATTTGTTGAAATGCACTGTATTGACCTTCTTTTTGGATTGTGTGTTTCTGATGTCATCGGCATTGTCGGCTGTATTATATGTAGTGTACAAAAGAATAAAATGTACACAACATATACTTAATGTGTGGCGTCGCCTTACACACCATCTGAACATGACATTGGCTGTATATAAGACTTTAAGCGTGGAACACCTCAAAACAGACTATACTAAAACGGTTAGTATACCCCCTGCAACGACGTTGACCTTTGTTGAAAAAAATAATGAAACTTTTTGTCCGGACAACTCCTAAAATTATGGATCGATTTCAAATCATCTTTCCAGATAAAATCACTACCACATGAAGTTGTGCATTAAGGTATTTTTTTCATTCTGACCTTTTTTTGTGCAAAGTTTAGCCCTTTTTATGAAAATTGCTTGCCCGTACAACTTCTCTAAACTACTGCGCTAATTTCAATGAAAGCTTTCAGATATGATATCTATCACCTGATGTTGTACATCCAGGAATGTTTTCGAACCCTTTTTATGGAGTTATGGCCATTTGTTGAAAAATCATTTGCTTGGGGATTTTCCTTATCTACTGGGCCATGTCAAAGAGAGTTTAAAGACATGGTAACTACCTCCTGACGTTGTGCATCGAATAGTGCTTTTTCACTCGGACCTTTTGAAAAGGAATTATGGCCCTTTGTTGAAAAAACATTTTGTCTGCCTCCTTAACTACTGGACCAATTTCAAAATGGTAATAATCCCCTCATATCATGAATGGGGTAAGTATTCATTTGACCCTTTTTAAGGAGTTATGGCCCTTTCTTAAAAATCTTTGTTCTGACATCTCTTCCTTAACTACTAGGATGATTTCAGCAAAACTCGTTCATCTGGGTTAACAAAATTTGGTTTGCAAGTATGTTTTGGCCTTGGGAGGGAGTTAAGAGAAGTATGTGAGTGACATTTATACTTAAATAAGTGTACAGATCAGACAATAAAGAAATCATAAATGGTGGGATACTATGGATTGCTTTGCAATGCTTTGCCTTAGTAAGCCTTAAGCTTACAGTTCTCATTTATATATGAGCGGGGTATTACTGTCGTTAGCCTTTGGCTTACAGTTCTAGTTCAATAAGGTACATTTAAATCGCTTTACAGAGTAAATAAAACTAATGAACAATTTCAATACAGTCCCCTTTTTCCTTTCATTTTCAGTAATATAACGAGCTTTTTGTTTTTGCACAGTTCTACGAAAACACTGAAACGTTCAAAGTAACCTTAACATCAGCAAGTTCTGGAGGGCAAGTTGGACCGCGTCGGGAAACAGTTGTAACAATTAGGGATGATGATCGTAAGATTTGTTTTTTCCCATAGTAGATGTACCAAATCTTTTTGTTGGTGTTAAGACAGCTATGCTCTAAAACCATCGATATATCTATATACAGTTTCTTCGATAAAATCAAGTACCAAAGAGTACTTGATATAATTTAAATATTCCATATCATAGATAAAAAAGTTTATAAATACAGTTACATTCCATTTTTTTCGTTTTGCGTGTATGCATGCGTTGGTTTAAACAATTATCGGATACCAGTTTTAGTGCATAATTTATTAGATATATTTGATACTTTTACCTATAATATCAATAAAATGTTGCTCATAATTTTAGTACCTGGCAAATTCCAATTTGCCCGATCAAGTTACGTGGTGAACGAGAACGTCGGTTCAGTGAAATTGCAGATCGATAGAATATCCGGATCACTCAATCAAGTCACTTTGTACTGGAAATCCACTGGTATATCGGCTACACTTAACAGCGACTACAAAGGTGCTTCTGGATCTATAACATTTGGTGTTGGTGAAAAATGGAAATCCATCGTTATTCCCATCGTTAACAATCAGGTGGGTTTTGTATAGATTCTTGACTTGATGATTTTTAATATTGCAAAATCCAGATAACTTCATTAAAATCAACCTAGAAGATTCAATGATAATCGTTTAATTTCCATTAAGTAGAATTATAATGAGCGTTTTATATTCGAACAGTTCTTTGAAAACACTGAAACGTTTAAAGTAACCTTAACATCAGCAAGTTCTGGAGGACAAGTTGGACCGCGTCGGGAAACCGTTGTTTCAATAAAAGATGATGATCGTAAGAACTTTTATTTTCCAAACTATAATTAAAGTTAATTTTTAACGACGTACGACAATTACTTTATAAATATGCTTGAAAGGCACTGAACCAATATCAGGAAATATCAAGTTCTTCAGACAAGAAATCAATCCCCGACCATTGGGCGGTAATCAGTAATTATATCAATTGCTCATATCCTAGCAACACAAAGTGAAAACACAGCAGTAACATTGCAAAAATATGTATTGTCGACATTTCTGTTTGTGTAGGGATGCTAGCTTGCGTTTTAACGGTGATACCAATTATGATACATAACGGAATATAGATTTTTTTT